CTCAGAAAACCTATACAGGTTCGCTATGAGTCAGAACAGACTCAACAGCACTTCACAACAACAACAATGAGCACATGAAAAGAGACTCAACCTCATTAGTCAATATGAAAATACAAATAAAAAGTACAATGAGATGTTATTTCATACTCACTGGAATCACTGAAATAAAAAAGAGTGACAATACGGAATGCTGGTCAGACTATGCTAGTGGGAATATAGAATGGGAAGACCATATTGGAGAATTATTTGAAAGGGTCTTGTACTGTTAAACACATATTTACTGAGTGTCACAGCAATTCTGATCCTAGGAATCTACCAAAGACAAATGAAAACACAAATAAATATCCACAGAATAGTCATTGCAACCTTATTCATAAGAGTTGTTATTAAGTGCCGTCAAGTCGGTTCTGACCCATAGCGACCCTGTAAAGGGTTTCTGAGGCTGTAAATCTTTACGGGAGCAGAAAGCCTCATTTTTCTCCCGCGGAGCAGCTAGTAGTTTCGAACTGCTGACCTTGCGGTTCGCAGCCCGATTCGTAACCACTACGCTACCAGAGCTCCTTGTTGTAAAGTGGCTCTTATCCAGGTCAATGGATAAATCAATCATGGTCTACTCCTAAAAAGGAATACGAATTAGCACTAAAGATGAATGAATTGAGGATATCTAACACCAAAAGCATTAAGTTGAGTGATGATAACACTAGATAGAAGTTTGTTGTAATTTTTTCTAATTTCCATTCTTGGCCATTTATTTTTTTGGAACTGTGAATTCAAAATTCTAGACACCACTAAGAAAATGAACTAGTTAAGAATTTTACTGATTCCACTATCAATGACTCGAACTGGCTCAATAGCCGCCTTGGGTACGTTACAAACAGTGCTTATAACATCTTACTGTTCAACACTAGCAGATACAATCTAAGGTTACCACTGTGTTTATGGTTCACATTTGTCAATGAGTAACTCATTTGGGTTCATGAATGTCAGAGTCTCAATTAAGAGAGTACCACTGCCAATGTTTAACCTGATAACTTATGTGAGTGTTTCACAGCCTTTAAATGGCAAACAACTGAATGCTTGGAATGAGAATTTTAATGTGCAGATGTGGGCATTTTGTTTCTCCCCGAAATAGTCACAAAAGTCTTTAGCATACAAGATAAATAAAATGCCTTTAGGGCTAAAACATGTCTTGGTGAGGAAGCTGGCAATCTACAAGGACAACTCCCGTTTCTGTCAGGTTTCTCCATGCCAGCTCGTCTTGATGATGCCGTGATGGTGTATTGGCTAAGTGTTCAACAGCCACAGAGATGTCTTGGAAACCCCATGGGGTAGTTCTACTGTTCTCCAAAGTCCCAATGAGTCAGAATTGATTAGTCAGATTAGTGAGCTGAAATGGACTGGTATTGGCCATTTTGAATCTGACAACCACATGGTTTGCTATGCAGGGAATGACAAATTGAAAAGGAATGGTGTTGCATTCATCGTCAAAAAGAACATATCCAGATCAGTCATGAGGTACAATGCTGTAAGTGAT